GCTTTCAAATAAAAACAGAATAATCAAATTCGGTTCACCTAGAGAAAAGTTCTTAGGTAACGCACATAAAAAAATACAGTTGAATTGAATACCTCCTCCTTTTTTTCAAGTCGTTTAAAAATATATTTTATTATAATATCAATGATCCAACGGTCGATTCCGTATTATCCGTATACTAATCATAAGACGGGATTTCTAAGAATTTTGAAAAATTTGTCTATAAAATTTCAAAATTACATAGATGACCTTTATCGTAATATTTGATTATAGACATGTCCATAAATAACCAGTCTTTTTTTTGACAAACGTTACCCCCACACTAGGACTTTCTCCTGTATCGTGGAGGCAGTTTACATACATAAAAAATATTTGTTTCGTACTGGATTCTAACAACAAAAGCAGCTCTCAGCGCTGCAACTCATTTCTAAGCCATGGAACCGTCAGAAGCTCCACCACAGATGTTAAAAAGAGGCCAAGGCCAAAATTAACTACAGACACTATGACAACAGTAATCATTGTTGCTTGCATCAATTCAATGCTGGTACAGTAAGTGGCCTTGTAGATTATAAGATATTATCACTATCAACCACGCGTGTGATACACAGTTTCGCTATCGCTACTCATTTTTATGCAACATTCATCTTTTTTACATTAACCCGAGTTACACCTTACGTCTCTAATAGTAAAAACTGGCTAGTGAGTTTAAAAAAAAACCAGAACCAAACGGAGGCTTCACCAGACTTCATATTTGACCATTCTAAATTTTAAGTTAACTAAAGAATATCACTAATGGTTACTAATAGAATATTCGGTTACTAACTGGAACCGCTTCCACATTCTCGTCATTTTATGATGTTCTTTATGCAGTACAATGATGTTTGGCGTAACAAGTCTGAAGCGGAATTTTGGACTTTAGAAGTCGGCGTTTGGGAAAAATGATGAGAGTGAATTTTTACGATGCGCGCGCACACCGACACCTAAAAACGACACCATGAAGTTGTTAAGATGTGCGCGCACACTGACATCTAAAAGCGACAACTTCAGTGGGTAATTGTCTCTCAAGTTTTTTTGTTTTATTATGCTAAAGCAGTATAACTTCCCACGTGCGTACATAAGTACACACACACTTTATTTTTATAGAATAATAGTGACAAACGATCACACAGTCACCCTGGTGGTAAGTGGATGCTGCGGCTCATAGACATGTACATTTATTCTCCATCAAGAATCAATGTTGGTGCGTTGTCACCCAAGGGTATCCGGTTATCTACACTCACCATATGAAACACAGCATCATTAAGTTCCTATTTTTATATACGTGATATGAAGACAAACAATTTTTTAATAACTGGAAATTATAATATGCTACGTAATTCCCGCCTACGCTCTAGACACACAATAGAAAACTCCAAACGAGCTAGTAATTAAAAAAAAAACGAAAAGTGCACCCAATTAGTGGCAAGCAAAAAAAAAATAACCGATAGTACATCACATTGAATGGAAAGTGTGCGCTCACAAAGGCATCAGAGGGGTGGAAACAGGGAGCGGAGCTAAGAGATGGGTTTGTGTCACCAGACTGGGGAAAGAATCGATTTTAGTTCCACTGGGGAATAAGTCTTGGGGCGTCTAAATTAAGTCAAACAAGTTACGATTTGAATACCAAATGCATCTGGAAAAATGAAGGTAGTACAAAAGGACCATCTTAGATTATGCAAGGGATTTAGTAGTATAGTTGTAGCACGAATGGGTCGGCCGAAGAAGGACCGCGCTCTCACAGAATACCAGCGTAAAATAGCAGCTAACGCTTCTATGTTCAGTATGGTGAGTGTAGAGAACCGGAGACCCTTTTTACTGGAAACGAGGCATTCAATCTTAATCCTCACGGGTGGCTGCATCTGCATTTTGATTCGTAATCGAGGATAGATGTAGATGTCTCTGGCCCACCACTTACGATCAGGTGGACTGTGAGCTCGTTTGTGACCCTTATTCTATAAAAAATACAAGAGACCTAGGGCACCCAAATTATGGATACCTTTAGCAGACAAAAAATAGGAGGATTTCCACAATTAGACTGTATATTCTTTTTTGTATGTACGTTTACGGTGGTATCTTAGTCAATTATGAACCGATTTTAATCCTTCTTTTTTTATTAAATAGGTTATACTTTAGGGGCGGTCCCATATTATAAATTTAAAGAAAAAGTACCACTCGTAGAAGACGGCTTTCGAACATGTTATATTAATTAGTGCATTTAAGAGCCTCAAATAATAAGACTTTTAATTAAATGAATAGAAAAAAAAAATACTTCTTCAAAGTATGAAAATAAAGTTTCTGTTTGTGAAATGTATTTTTTTTAATCTACTACTGTTTCGGTATGATGTTCCTCTGACCTCTGATAAAAAGTAACCTCAATATACTATGTCTTACTTGTTTTCGACTACACAACGACTATATGTCAACTTGGACAAAAATATCGTATTGTATATTTATTCTGTTTACGCGAATAATACACGTGCACCCGAAGCGTCGTGAATTAAAAAGTTAAAATAAACTGCCGATAAAATTAGTTTCATTTAATATCGTAATCTAATCTAGACACGATTTTAAAGCTCGAGTTACAAATACTTCTTTAAAGGTCTTTGCAAAGGTGCTGCAATACTTCACGCCAGGACAGTTCCTTACAGTATTTAAAGTAAAGGCCGGTCGTGCATGAAGTATTGCTGCCTTTATATGGGATGGTGCTGCCTAACGGCTTTGAACTCAATAGAAAGGCGTGCTAAGAGGTTCAGGCGCAAACAAGCCAGTTTTTCGACTTTTTACAGTACACATTTCGGAGAGTGTGCGCAGGAATTACCTATATGCATTAAATCCTCCGTCTCTTTCGGTCGGCGGGTCTTCACTTCTACTTCACTTCGTCTTTTGTAATGCGCACAGCAAAGGAGTGGAATAATTTTCCGTCCAAATACAATCTGGACATCTTTAAGTCAAGAGTGAATATGCTTTTGTTACGTTATAAGGCAGTGCGATTTACCATCTAGGGCTTCATCACCACTTACCACAAGGTGGGATTGTGGTCAAGCACTGCCTTATAAGTTAAAAAAAACCAAAGTAAAATAGCAGCTCAATGTTGCTGTGTTTCGACTGGTGAGTATAGACATTTTACTGGAAACGAGAGATTCCATCTTACTCCTCAAGGGTGACAACGCATCTGCATATTGATTCTCAATTGAGAATTTATGTAGATATCTATTGGGCCACAGCATCCACTTACCATTAGGTGGACTGTGTGCTCGTTTGTTCGTTTGTTCCGTCTAAATACCTAGCGGTGTATGCGTCACCGTGTAGTGGCGGCAAAAGAGAATACACTTCGCCACATCATCCCGTGGGTTTGTAAGAGATACAGAGGAAATTCAAACAGGATATGGGTAGCAGCATCTACCCGATAACTCAAAATAATAAAAAACTACAGTTATCATCGCTATTTTTTTTTTTGCCAACACGATTGCCAAGTGTCACAACTACGGCAAATATCCCCCTATGAGGCAATCTACGACGAGAATGTTCAGCAGTAGGTTGTAGTAAATTATTTGATGAAATTATATTATGAATAATTCAAACTTAAACATTTTGTACAACCGACTTCAATATACATTATTGAAGATAACTCAAAAACGACTGGTCATATCTTGATCAAATTTATATGGGACCACATAAGAAGCACCAGCATTCAAATAAAAAAAGAATCATCGAAATCGGTTCACCCAGAAAAAAGTTATGAGGTAACACACAAAAAAAACATACAGTTGAATTGAGTAGGTAGGTACCTACCGTTTTCTCTTTGAAGTCGGTAGAAAATATATGAGCTTGCTTTCAACAATTCGAGACTCCTACCGAAGACCGCGGCTCTGGACTTGTGTGTTCATATGGGCTTTGGGTACAGTCCTTTATTTTATAAGGAATAACACTATTTAGAACCCCACAAAATAAAGCAGAAGTTTCAAAACTATTCTCTTAATAATTAGTTATTAGAATTAGAGGTATACAGAGGGGAGTTCCTCGATTAGAGTGAATGCGCAGGGGAAATTTTAATAAATAATTAAAAATTAAAAATTTTGTATAACCGACTTCAATATACATTATTGAAGATAACTCAAAAACTACTGGTCATATCTTGATCAAATTTATATGGGACTACAAAAGAAACACCAGCTTTCAAATAAAAAAAGAATCATCGAAATCGGTTCACTCAGAAAAAAGTTACATACATAAAAAAAAAACAGTCGAATTGAGTACCGTCTCCATTTTGAACTCTGTAGAAAACGACAACGACAATCTGTAAAGGCTACGTAGCGTAGCCTTTACAGATCACACGTGTAGAAAAAAAATCCACTCATCTACGCTTTGGTCGTAGGTGGAAACTAGAACCCAATTAGGGTCCATAATCACTTATTAAATAAAAATATTACTCTGCCTCTTCTTCACATGGCGAACTTTAAATGTTCTCTAAATATTTTATTGCCCTTCCTCAGACATGCAGGTTTCTTCAACGTTTTACTTCACGAGTAAAATTGGCAAGTAACAATTTCATTGGTGCCGGCGGGGATCGAACCCGGGTTGCTCGCATACTGAGGAATGTATGACGTGCGCTTAGGCCCTGCGTTACCCTCTCAGGAATAAAAGGTCGTGCCCAGCAGTGGAATATAGTCTGTAATTTACGGAATAATTAATTAAAGCAGTCTTGCAAAAATACAAAAACACCTTTACGAATTCTTCTTAGCATTGTTGGATGTTACGTTCAGCAGTAGATTTGTAAATGACTCTAATGATGATGACAGTATTTAACTCGGCATTTTAATATTGATAGTAATGAAGTAGGTACGTATATATCCTATCTACTTTTGTTACTGCGTCAACAATGTTTTGTGATTACCTTATCTTGTACAAAATTATGTAAATAAGAGAGTGATAAATCGAGATTAATAAAATATTAAATCACTTACCGTAATTTTGAACTGTTGAATCAGATTTTATAGCTTTATAGAGCTCAGTTATTTCAGAATACATTCTAAAAAATACACATCTTATATCTCCGCCATTTTCGTAGGCGTCGGTATAAATAAATTTATCCATCCCACCACGACCTTGACCCGCGATATTCTCACCCATATTAGTTTACAACTTTATATACACAAATGTATAGAATGGTTAATAGTATTATAGCTAAAGCAAAATGGAACGCGTTCAATTACATACTTTATTAGCACACCACAAAATATCTTCACAGAAAATGAGACGCTGAATTCACGGCTGAACAAAATTGACTGACTGACATAGTTTGAATGAAATAGAATGAATGACAGAAATGGTCGAAGGGAGGAGAGAAATTTGAACATTGAGAATAAAGCGCAAAAGGCGCTCACAAATATTTTTCCTTCAATTACGCGCATCAGAAAAAAAGTTTTCTATAAATATTGTGAATATTGTAGAATATAGATTACATCTGGTGAAAAATTTACAACGGTGACACATCACGATAAAATCCGTTTTTACATATCTACCTAAAGTTACAGACACTTAAAAAAATATTAATTGTAAGTAATTTAACATTAAATAATATAATAAAAAAGCAACAAATATCATGTTGACTTTTGAAAAAGCAAACTAAAAGAGATAAATTTTCATTCGTTTTTCCTTGTTTAAATGTTTGCGACGTAAATGTAGCATAAAGCAAACAGCGCTAGAATTGTTGAATAATCAACTCTATTGTAAAAGCGCACAATAATGTCGTAAATCGACCAATGGCGTGCACGAGTTTCAATATTGAAGACCAGTCCTTCTAAAACTGTTCCTTCCAAAATTTTCATGTATTATTTAGTTATGCAGTATTTATTCATAAATTACTCTTTTCCTTAACAGTCAAGTATTAGTTTGTTAATTGTTCACAGAATATGTCAACCGTTAGTATACGTCACGCTTTGTATGTGGTTTGTCGAAAGTGTATTATATTACATTAAATATTTAAACTAATGTTTAATTGTTTTAATAATCTATACTAATATTAGAAAGAGGTAAAGTTTGTAAGTTTGTAGGAATTAATCTCTGGAACTACTGAACCGATTTTAAAAATTCTTTCACCGGTAGAAAACTACATTGTTCCTGAGTGACACAGGCTACATTTGATTGTGATTAGTAATATGTTTTAATATAAAATAACAATATTTGTCAACCAATTTCGAAAATAAGTCCTAAACACTCAGTACTAAGAAACACACAAGATAATTTCACCACAAGTTAAAATGTTTGACGCCCAGCAAAGTGGGCACGTGTCAGTTAAAGTAATTTAAAAAAAAAAGGAAAAATACTTTTTAACCGTAATAATGTTATGCAGATATTTTCTTTATATTAATTTCTCTAAAGCTTTATAACATAATTATGTAACCAATACGACCGCAACATATTACACAGCACAAACACATACGTATGAAGTTTAAAGAAGATTATTTTTACCTCAGAGTTTAAGGCACTAAAATAGACATACCGTTTACTGTAAATAATAACTAATTGTTATTTAAATATTTAAAATATAAGTACTGTTCTCATAAAAGAAAAGTACAGGAAATAAGAGAAAGAGGTGTAAATTACATTTACTCCAAAAAATTAAAGTAATACAAAAACTGGAAAACAACTTTATATTGTGTCAAAGACCGAACATTTAAGTGTCTTTTAATGTCAGTGGTAACTTAAAAAGAGTTAAGCAAAGAGCCTCTTTTTATTTTATATTTATTTCAGCAACAAAATAATAAAGATGGTTTAACTTACGTTTTTCCTTTTTTATAATAAAGGATATATTTCATAACAGGGGAAACTTATTTTGTAATTTTCCAATTATATTAAAAAAAATCTACCGCAACTTGCAACTAATGCTGTCGCCACTAGTTTTCGTTTTCCTTTTCTTAAGTTACATTTTGGCAGCTTACTAAACTACTTACATGTATAATTTGATACTATGTTCAATAGTATTTTATAAAAAAATATCGAAATAAATTTGCAATGTATTGGAATATAATAACGATAATTTCTAAATAAACAGAATATTTAAAGCGTAGCTTGGTGTCACAGCAAAGTTTCTTAAAAATTATATTACAATTTATCTTTATATAATATTTGTAGTCAATTATTTAAATTATGGCCAAATTTCTAACTTTTGTAGAATGTGTCTTTTATAAAGGCCTTTTTGCATAAAGTATAAAATAATGTCAGCTACGAAAGCAATTATGTTCTTGATCTTTTAGAAAGTGTTTTCAGATTTAGTTCAAAGAAATTCCTCTTCATTCGATATTGTATCTTAGACTCGGTTCATTGTTAAAGCTTTTACTCTCTTTGCAAAAATATAACAAAGTAAATTATTTGTTATAAATTGAATTTATTTGTTTTAATTACAGTACTTTTAGACAAGAAGTACACTTTAAACAGTGTTTTTTTTTTGTCTAAAAGCATCTTATATCCAATTCACAAAATATTAAAAAAGAACATTAAATGAACATTTATACGAAAAAAACCTCTTTTTAACCATTTTAGAATGTTAGAAATTTGTAAAAATACAAAAATTGTTTGTTTTAACTATTTATTATATTATTCACTACTGCAGCCTATGGAAAACTACATCCAGCTACAAAAAAGAAAGGTTAAAAGTTCACTATTACTACAATCAGATATTAAGACAGTGCACAAAACCTTAATGATTTCTTTGAAAAATATAAAATATTCACAGAGAAACAAGTCGGATTTCGAAAGAATAAAAGTATAAATTTAGCTGTCTTTCAATTTCTGCGTACTGTAATGACAAGCCTTAGTATCTGCTCTATATAGTTATTCACGATGACTACGCTTGAATTGTTTGTTCACAACACTAGCCGAATTGCAGTTCGAAAGCATTTTTTTAGTTTCGAAGACCATATGTTGAAACGTTAACCTATCGCCACTTGAAAGACTGGAAAAATAAAGTTTTCCAATAAATCAAAAGCAGTGGTATACGAGGGAAAAAAGCGGTGTGTTTGTACTGACACTTGAGTGATATGTAAGCTGATTATCCATTGACACTAAAATTGAATCCTGATTACTGACTTTACTAAAGTCCTAGACTTTTATAATGAGAGCGTATTATAAAAAAAGGTCAATGAAATAAAAATAAAGAAATACTGAGGCCAAAGGTAATTGACTTTTTAAACAAACTTGTTTATTTTACAATATTACTCAAATACATATATCTCGCAAAGGAAGATTTTTATGATACTCGTAATTCTTTTCTAATCTTTTAAAACACTATACTGTAACAGTCCTGTGCTAGATTTTGGCCTCTTCCATTGTAAGAAGGATTTGCTCTAAGTGGTTGGATTGGTAATCACAGCACTTCTTACACTTTTAACGCTGCTAGACGCCACAGTTTAGAGTATTTAACGTCCAATATACGTTTTATGACATAGTTTTATCGTCATCTAAAGAAAGCCAAGACATATTTATGCCATTTTCTATAACTGTCTCTTAATCTCTTGGGGGTCCTATGACACGAAATATGAAGGAGAATGATATTCTTATGCTGCTATTTTACATACATCCGAAAATTAAAGTACTGGCCATAAGCAAACGTTTCTGTACAGAAGTGAATATTTTTTAATAAAATGATTTTCCCAGAATCTAATAATTGTTTCCATAAAGTATAAAAAAGCTTGTAACATCGCCGAAATAATTTACTCACAACTTAAAAGAGGAACTGCCGTTTAAAAATAGAACTCGAGCAACGTCATTTAAGAAAGTTAAAGGACCGAGAAATATAATATATTTTTCCTAGTTTCTGTATTGTGACTGAAACATTTCAAAGTGAAGTAATGCAAATACTGTGTTGGCAGGGAAAAGCGAGTTTGTAATTACGCTCTTGGGTAGGATCTCTGAGTGTACAGAAAGTACATCGTACAAGCGTATAGCGGATATTATCACCAGAGTAAAATTTCTAAAAGTATTTTAAGTGCAGTAATTTATATTTATAAATATAATTATGTGTATTGTAAAAAGTTGAATAATTATTATTGTTTATTTTTTTATTCTAAGGAAATAATATTAAAGGGCGCTTCATATGATGGATGAGAACAATAACTAGATCGCTATGGGTCTTCTGGAATCTGACATAAAATAATCCATGCCGACAAGACAAAACGTTTCCGAAACAAAGCATGCGGAACCACAATCAAGAATCCTAAGTGAAGAAAGAGTTCGTCTAAACGTGTACTGTTATATATTACAACGATTAAAACAACGAAAAAATATTTTTTTTAAGTATATATAGTATTAGATTACAACTGATATATTCGTCATTTTACATTACATATCTCCATTATTTCTTATATACCTAACATTTTTATAGGTCTTAGGACGACAAAAATGTATTTTAATAATATAATAATTAGAAAATAATGACTAACAAAACGCTTTTCCTAAGAAATGAAATCCGTGTCTTTACGACCTACATTTACTCACAATGGATATGATCTTTTAACGCGATGCTTTGTCTTCGTGCAAGCGTGTTGATGGGCTGAAAACAGTATGTTCTAATAAGGCGTAATGTATGTTGTTTTGTTGATGTTTATGAGGTTATAAGCTATCAAATTCTAGTGCGTTAATGCTATATTCTTATCTCGTACCAATTTAATTAAATTTAAATTTTATGGCATTTAAGAGTATCACTAACGAAAGATCTTTCTATTTTAAAGGTTAATTAAATAATAACAAGCTTTGTAAAACATGAAACCAGTAACGGATAATGCCTACAATATTTTACATTTATTACACCTCAAGGTAATTTAATATATGTTACTACAAGTTAAAATTAAAACTATCAAACTTTGACTGAAATTTAAGTTATAATCTGTCATAAAAATATTACACAAAGTAAATTAAACTTTTTAGTGATCAAAATTGTAAAGTGAGTGTTATCAAAACATATTTCATATACACACCCAGTTTTTATAACCTTAAATTAATGAAAGTAAAGCTCGCTACGATATTTTCCTGCCTCGGACTTCTCCCTAATGAAATTCCCTTACCTGCCATATTACTTTACCTCCCTTTGCGTACATAAACCGCTGCTGAATTTGTGTAACATCAACATACCT